TTGATGCAAAAAGGAGGAGCGAGTTTCGTTTTGCTACAGAAAAATCGTGTAGGCGAAGTACCGAAAGTGATGTTTTGAGGACCCGGAGATGCGTGTTGTTTTTGTATTTTTGTTTTTTCGGAATATGGAGGCCAACTTCCAAGCCCATCAACTTGAAACAGGGACATCCTTTGGACTCTTGCAACAAGTCTACACCAACAAGGCGATTCTAGCTTCAGACACCTGGATGAAACGAGTATGGCATGAACTCGAGGGTCTGGACATCTATGTCGCCTGTGACTCTCCCGCTCTCTCCCATCGCTGTACGGACGACTCCCTTCTGAGGGATCTCTTCATAAACTTGGAGGTTGAACAAGAGGAACTTTTATGGCTCAATTGGTGTCAAATGTTCCTCCAGGTATGCACAGTGTCTGACATTGTGACTGCTGATGGCAGGTTTATTCGTCGTTCCGCGTGGAATGGGCTCAGGGATGAGGGCTGCCGCTCGCCATACCAATGGCCAAGGACAGTTCGCCCAACCCGCCAACACTGGGACCTGTGGCAGATCACCTTCTCTTGAGCCCTGCTTGCCTCCAACGGGCCACATCACCCACTACGACAGCCATTAGGGCCCTGGACTGATCCTCTGGAGGACTGGAATTGGTTGCTGTCACCCACTACAGGCCGTTTCCACCGCCATGGGGCAACCTGGAAACAATTTTCTCCTGAGGGTTCCTCCACCACGTCACGTCGCTACGCACCAGCGCCTTCATATCCTTCCTGCCCATGGTGGACCGCACCGCTTCCTTGTGATGTTCTTTGCGCCACGGTTCGCCCCATCACGGGATCTGACAGTGTTCTTCTCACAGGTACTGGCCGTGCCTCTAAACCGTCCCCTCCCAACAGCCCATCCATCCTTCAAGCGTGGCAGACGGCTGCCGAGCTTTGCACGGACTATTACGGGTGGGTACTAGATGAGATCGAGGTTCACGGTGAGGAAGCCACCTGAGCTGATGCTCTGTTGGAAGGTCGCCTGCGCGTGATCAGCGATGGATCCTTCAAGAACGAGTTAGGGACCGCGGCGGTTCAACTCTTGTTGAAGCATGGAGGGTGCGATCGAATCATCATCCGGTGTCAGACCCCCAGTTTGCCCCAGGATCAGAGCCCATACCGCAGCAAACTCATTGGTCTGTTGGCCGGTATAATGGCGGTTGATTGGCTCCTTAAGCAATGGTTCCCAAACCTTTCAACATGCCCCCAGGTGCCGATTGCTTGCGATGGTCTCTCTGCCATTAGGATGGCTTTCAAAGATCGCCCACTGTCTCCAACTGACGCCCAGTTTGACTTGGTGTCATCCATTCGGGAAGCCATCCTTCGGTCCTCGGTGGATTGGTCGCCCCAGCACGTGTATGGCCATCTCGACAAGTCCAATCTCTTTCACAAACTTTCTTGGTGGGAGAAACGGAACCTTGAGGTGGATAGAATGGCGGTGGAGTACCGTAAGGAACTTGAGACGGCCAATCATCTCATAGCCCCCAATCCTCGTTTCTTCACTGAGCTTGCGGCATTGTACGTGGCAGACACCAAACAGTCACGCCTTGATCCTCAGTTCACCCAAGCGTGTGTGACCCTTCCCGCCCTCCGCTCGCGCTGGAGGGACAAAGGTACTAATAATAATAACTGAGACATTAATCATTAGAAGACAGGTGTCTCCGTGGTAAACTGAGATGCCTGATCTAATGAGCCACAGGGACAAAGGTACTATCTCGGCCGCAGCCGAGTCTGAGATCGCCTGGGACACACTTGGCCGAGCCATGCGATCCCTCCCTGCAGGATTACAAAGGTGGTCTACTAAACATTGTGTGGGCATGTGTGGCACAGGTAAATTTAAAGTTCTATGGGGTTTGGAGACATTGGCAGCTTGCCCGCGCTGTGGCGACTTCGAGGATCATCTTCATGTTCCCCGTTGCCGCGCTGCTTCAGCAACCGCTGAATGGGACCGTCGCACTGCAGCCTTCTCCGCGTGGCTGGACCTGCAATTGACGGGCCCTTCCATCACAACAGCAATCCCACAGCTTCTTCACGGCGTTCGCACACCTACTTCGTCCCCTCTAAGTACCATCTCTCCTTCGGTTCGGCAGGCCTTCTTGGCTCAGCAGGTGATTGGGTAGCATCATCTTGGCTTCCGCTCCAACAACAACATTATGACAAGATCAGATGTCAACGATCTGTCTCTCTTTGGGCGTCCCGCCTCTCACAACAGCTGATCTCGATCGGCTTCTACATGTGGGAGCAACGGAACTCCGTTCAAGATTCAGATGATAACGTTCAACTACGTGAACGTCACAGTAGTGTTGATGAGGGTATTCACTCACAGTTTGATATGGGTCCCGATGACTTGCCTAAGGAAATTCAACCGATGCTAACAAGCCGTTGACAAGTCCTTCGCAAGTCATTGGTGGACAAGGAAGAGTGGCTTAAGTTGCTTCGTCAGGATTACCGAGACTTCCGTCGCTCCATGAAAGCACAACGCCGCAGTCTGCGGACTATTTTTTCCCCTGGACCCTGACCAACTTTTCGTGGGACCTTACATGTCCCGAATTCACCCCGCCACGTCACGGGAGAAGTCTTTACCCCTTTGGGAGACTTGAGCAACTGCCTCACATGGTTCAAACTTGTTGTTGACTCACCGCTACACAGTATTTGACCTTTACAGCCGAATATTTCACCGGCAATCGAATGCCCACAGAGTAGCATAGTAACGATTAATGTCTCAGTTATTATTATTATCATTTTCACTAGCATAGTGCCAGTCGGATTGAAGTTTGACATTAGTCGTTCCAGCAGGACATGGAATAAGATAGACATCATTGCCATTCTCATCCTTTCCTTTGATCGCATCGTGAAAGACATTTGACGTATCAAAATAGCCAGTCTTCATGACCTGCAGAGTTCGAGTTTGAGTTGCATTGAATCCTTGGCGCACTTGAGCACCACTGAAGCCTTGCTGGCTGAGTTGCATTCCACTGAACGCAATCTCACCATTAGCATTCATTGAGTAAGGGACAGTCACAGTGCCGCCACCTTGAGTTGGAATCTGCATGAGCTGCATTCCCGAAGGAACTTGCAACATCTGATTACCTGTAGTACCAGTAAGTCGCAAAGGTGTGTTAACGCTTCCCGCAACACTTGGTGTTCCACCAGTGATAATACTTGTCGCTGGAGAAGTTCCAGGAACTGTAGCTGGGACAGTTGCTCCAATCTGATTAAGATTGAGCTTCTTCCCATGATCAACATAGACAGATTGGAACATCTCCTGTTGGGCGCAAACTATATTCTTGAAATTTCAATACAAGTGGTTTCAGCTTCTTTGCTCTGTAGGTGAATTTTGGCTTGGAGATTTTCTCTGTCCAAGCTGCTGTAATTTTGTAGTGAAAGACGGACCCACAGAGCTCAATATCTCCACCAATACCTCCGCCGGTGAAGATGTGTAGGTAATAAAACCAAAATATCTGTTGGTGAATTTCATCCAGGGCTTCGAACTCATTTATGAGGTCGTTGCGTCTTGATTGGATAATAGCATCATCGCCATTATGTGCCCCAGTTTTGTCAATTTCCATTAGATCCATTGTTCAGGAAATTGGGCAACTCTCATTGGAATGAGAGGCAAGTGGACAACTTCAACTCCAATCTTTTCATCACAATGATGAACTGGTACACGTGTACAGGTACGCGGGTTTCGTCCCGCGTCAAAGACATGCAAGCCTGCATTAAATTGACGCGGAGTTGCGTCAGTTTGATGCAGAGTTGCGTCAGTTTGACGCCGATTACACGTCAACTGACGCAACTCTGTGTCAAACTGACACAACTCGCGTCAATCCCGCGTCCAAAGAAATGTCCCGCGTCAAAGTCGCAGAGCATTTTAACGGACACATTCAAATTATTTGGATTTTTTAAAAAATCTCAAAACAATCTAAACGGACAGATTTTGGGCGTGCGTTTGATGTTGTGGTGCGTCCCTGAATGAAGCCTCTGAAGATGAGACTCTCGACAACCAGATGATTTCGACACTGCTATGGATCTGAATGACACTGGCATTGGTAATGCCACACTCGTCTCCAACCTTGACTGGGACCAAACGTTATTGGACCAACACAGTGGCGATCTTGGCTGTAGTATCTCTGCCAACAGCACTGGCCACAGCTTGCTCCTTCAGTTTCCGGAAGCGAGCATGGGGAGTGATTCTGATGCTCTTCTTCCTTAACAAGATGAGACTGACGAGGACCCAATGGATTTGGAGAATGGGGAGCAACAGTGTGTGATGTCTTATAAGTTGGCTGTCGTACCGGCTACCAAACGTCCACCGCCTACACCTCAACAAGAAGCCAAACAACACAAGTTCACGTTTTATGGAGTAAAATATAGATCAATTAATAACCATAATGTTATCTATTCTATTCAGAAAGCCAACACTCATAAACATCTAGCTTTGATTGATAGAGGTGCCAACGGCGGCATTGCTAGAGACGATGCCCGCATCATCATTGCCATTATACGCCAACAAGCCTACATTGGAAAGGGCCAATCCATTCTGTCCAATGGACAGATGGAACATTTCAAGATCGTTGTGGACGACAAGCCTACCAAAGTTGGTGGTCAACAGCGCTTGACAACACCAGATGGCTTCGTCTTACCACTTGACATCAGCAATGGCCTCCCATATCTGCGAATGCGCCCACCAACAGATCTTGAGCTGAGTAATCCCGACATTCCACATTTTGTACTCACTTCTAATACTGATTGGGACCCAAGTGTATTGGATCATTTGATCAACAATATGGAAAAATGGGCAAACTCCGTTCTCAACTGCGATCCTGAGGATGAAGAACGCCTGTTTGATCTTGTAGGAGTTCTTAAGAATAATAAAGCTGTTACTTCTTTTAAGGATTCTAGACTAGATGAAATTACTGATTTCTTTGAGAACTTCAATTGTGTTCTTCCAACTGATGGACTGTACGAACAGCACCATCGAGCGTTCGACAACCTCACATGGTTTAACTGCAACATGACCGACCTATTTGGCTTTGACGCAGCACCAGAAGATTCACCCATCCCTGAGTGTTTCGAGGTCTACGAAGCTCTTAAGCCCCCTTCAATACTGTTCAGCCCAGGCCAATCGGTCAACAACGATATCGAGTCAGCTCCTTTCAGCTCTTTCAAGGACCTTATCCTCAATTCGGACAAACTGACAAGGAAGACACCTCATGGGGAGTTGGATCGTCGTCCACCGCCATACTCTGACTGTCCACGAGAGTACTAGTTGAATCCTAATTACTATAAAGAAGTCTACTCTAGACCATGCTGTTGCTTTCTTTACTGACTTTGTACTGGAAGACGACTTGCTCCAACAGTTGCCGGAAGCGAGCATGGGGAGAGATGATGCTACTAGTGCTCTTCCTCCTGTACATGATGGGAACAAGTCAGATAGAGAGCCTGACCAAACAATAGATGAGATAGCCACTAACAAATCTATTTTGGTTTGTACTCTTGAGATCCTTGAAGCTACCCTGGACTGTACTCTTGACTCCCTTGGGCCACTTGACTTTGATCTGATCGATCGTGGATTGAGCACCGCTAACATTCCAAATGCCGCGCTCTTGAACGTAGCATGGAAGATCCTATCAACCCGGATCGCACCAGTGTAACTCAAGTCGCACCGCCAGAGCTTGAGGTCTATCAGTCTCACAAGCAACCCTTAACTAAAGAGGCGCGCTTTGAGCTGGTGTTGTATCAATCTCACAAGCAATCCTCAACCCAAGAGGCGCGCTTTGATGATGATACTCGAAAGCCTGACAGGAGAAATGGTCCACCACCTTGCAACAGCTTTGAGCACGGATTACAACCAACTGAGGTTGAACTGAAGAACCCAAGTTCGGCTGTGAAGTCTCGTGAACGTGATTGGGAACGCCTCCGCAGCTACTTTGCATGGTTGCCAAAGCTAGTCATCCAGAAGAACTCGGAACACTACATGGAAGACTCAACTCAACTAGCTACGATAGCTACTATAGATATTACAGTACTGGCGCCATCCAACTTTGTATCTACTTCTAGAGCTAGTCACCAAATCCGAGCCCCGCAATTCCGCAGCTTCCTACTTGCTGGAAAGCACAGATGCAGCACACGCCATGGCTCAATGATAGTATCATTGAGCGGTCTCCAGGCCTATACTACCAATGTGCTTGTAGCGGAGCTAACTAAAGTCTTCACTTCCTTGATAGACAGTCTAAAAGTTCCCATCCACATTCATAGTAGTCCATGATCTCAACTAGTCAAATCTACTTGAGATACTCTCTCATAATGGGAAACTTTCTAGTTCTTTGTGGAAGAAGAAGAAGAGCCCTGTACAAAAAACAAACAACAACAAGACTTGCCACCCTGTATAAGGCTGATGACATGTCAGGGGAAAGCGACAATGGAGAAGAGCAATTCGCTTCTGATGAGGTTGTCACCTGTTGAAAGAAAACAGATTGGACAGATTTATACTATCTGATTAAGATTGAGCTTCTTCCCGTAATCAACATAATGTTTCGGATGCTTCCATTGACTCTCTGGTAGCAGTCTGTCTGGGCATTTTGGAGACATATGGTCCTTGCTGCCACATACATAACATGCTGCCTTTTTCTTTTCGTCCTTCGGTTTACCTTTACCTTTACCTTTATTTGGCTGGTCTTTTCCTTGGTAAAGGTTCACTCCCGGACTCTTGATCACATCCATGTGAATCTTCAACATATCTTGTGCTTTGCTGACCGTCTTTGGATAGTAATCCACTTCCCTGCAATAGTTTGTCTGAAGATCCAGCATCAGAGGAGCTGTTCTTGTTCAATTGCAAATGCACAGGAATCCTGTTGCAAGAACGGCTTCAAAGATATCATCCTTGAACTTGTCTTTAGCAGCAGTATCGGTGCTAGCAATAGCAGCATACGCTTTTGTCTTGACTGCAAAATTTTGGAACCAGGCAACGCCATATAGATCTTGCAGGACTTCAGCCTGTCTCAAGAATCGTTCCTTGAAATGCATCAAGTTTTCGGTTGTTCCTTGCTTCATAGCAAAGAACTTTTGATTCGCTTCCCAAAAATCCAAGAAATCATACTGAGCATCAGCACTCTTCTTCATGAATCGTTCAATACGTTTCAAGAGTTTGATTGGATCTTCAAGAGTACTGGTGAAATCGGCTTCGCCTCGAAGCTTGATATCCATATCTTTTGTCACAAACTTAAACATGATGTTTGATTTGACAGTTCTCTTGTTTGTTTCAAAGTAGGCTGATTTTCGCATGTTCTCGTCGAGCTTTGTAGAATAGAGAATCTTGTTTTGAGCCATCTCTGTTTCTCTTGCAACAGCTTCAGTTTGAGTTGGAGCATTCAATGTTGGAACGATTGCATTGAAGTCGATTGACTTTCCATCTCGAATAGATTTCACCATGGAGCATTTCATTCCAGAAGCTTGGATGTAGTCAATCACTCTTTCTTTGGCATCTTCGTACAACGATCTTGCCTTTCCATCGTTTTCATCTTTTGTTGAAAATAGATGTTTCACAACTGTTGAACTCGAACTGCTCTTGACCTTCTGAGGAGTCACACGTCCTTTTCCTCCACCGGAAGAAGAACGTCCCATAGTCAACGAATCACTCACTCCTTTGTAGATAAGGCAGTGCTGTTCTTGACATATTTCTTTTTGTTGCCTTTTGTGATTGAATATTAGAATAAAGCAAAATGTGCTCTATCGTGAGTGCCTTTAGCGCTCAGAACAAACTCTCTGCAATCTAAATTCTTAATCGACTGTACAACACTTTCACGACAATAGTTCTCCTGCGTCTAGGTATACTTTGAGTGAAATTGTTCCTATTTGATTAATGTTTGGCTTGAATTGATGATTCAATCACAAAAGTGAGTTCAACGATTTTCCCTTGTAAAATCCCTTGTTTACAGAACTTGATTTGACTTCTACGACAATTCTGTGTTGAATGCAGTACTTTGGGACATCTTGTATTATTCCCTACTGCATCGTACACAACATCGATATTCCACTTGCATAGGGTCATTCCCTCTTCATGTGGATATAGATTGTCCGGCAGACTTGCGTCAAATTGCTGACATCACGATTATAATCCGATCGTGTGTGTCAAAACTTCATGCTTGAATAGTTTTTCTTGGAACGTAAAAACTCATATTTTGTCATATCCCAACATTGTACACAACATCAATATTCCACTTGTATAGGGTCATTCCCTCTTCATGTGGATATAGATGGTCCGGCAGACTTGCGTCGAATTGCTGACATCACAATTAAAATTTGATCGTGTGTGTCAAAACTTGGTAATTGAATAGTTTTTCAAGGAACGTAAAAACTCATATTTTGACATATCCCAACAGAATGCTTGAAATTATTTTTTCTATGGTTGAAGCAAAGCCTGTGCGTCATACGCATTGTATGTGCGCAGACGGCTCTCAGCCAGTGATATTATCGTAGAAAGAACTGATGTGGCAGATTCCATAATGATGTGTAATATTCTGCATGCTTTTTACCTGATTTGATACACATCATCTTGTAGAAACTAGTCAACTATAGGCTTATAGTCTATCTTCATTTATTTCTGTCAGCAGGACTTTTTATCCCTTTCAACACCCTGTGTTTTCAACACCCTGTGTTGAAACGATACAGAGGTCTAGGAAAAGAGTGATGCAAATCCTATTGGGATCTGTGAACATAATTTGAGGAAATTTTTTATTTGAGAGCTGGTAGAACATAGGACTTCCCAATGATAATGGATGTTGAGTGATGGACTTAATGATGAATGACAAAGTCACAAACAATACAACAATGAGCTACTGAAGCTAGTGTCTACTCCAAATCACCATTGGTGCTCAGCAGGATCATAGATGGATACATTTTCAACACTAATTGTCTACTTTGTCCTTGAGCTAGATTTCCCCCGGCTTTGTGCCAAACTGTTGTGTGAAACGCTTGTCTTTGGGGGTAGATTACTAGGACAGGAGGTATTATGACCATTCATCTGTGATGCCTGCAACTTTGACACGGATTGTAAAGAAGTCGCTGAATTGCCAGGAACTCTGGGGTATGAATGCCCTCGTCCAGCTGGAGGACTTGTTGAAGAAGAAACATGTGAATGGCTGCTGGGCTTGGCAGAAGTACTCAGTGCTCTACTTGCAACATGTTGCTTTTCAGCAGCATCAATGATCTGCAGAGGCCATAGTTCCGTTCGTCCATCAGACCAATGAGATGTGGCAGACTCTTGCACTGATTGTAGGTGAGATGGGTGTGAATGTGCAGTTTGATTCTGATTCGGCCCATTTCCCACACTAATGATTGCGATCGGCATTAATTGTCGTTGCATGTTGGAAGTAATCAAAGATGAAAAGACTGAATTTGATCGCCTTTGCAAAGCTGTTTGGTCTGCATTGATTCTTTGTTGCTCCACCGCCACATCACAGTCATTCTCACTTTTTTGCCGATCAACAGACATCATGCACTTTCTTCCGACCAAGACTGAGGAATCTTGTAAACCCGTGCTGTGGCACCATGTCTCTTGTGGAGCTTTTCGGAAGCTACTATGCCTGATGGATCTCACATTGCCCTCAGGACAGACAGCGTCATTCGATTCACTAGAAATACTCTCCCATTGCTTTTGGCAGTTTTCTGCCGACTTCCACCACAAGATCTCACTTGTTCTGTAGTACTTGGCTTTTGCAACCTCCACCTTCAAAGTCTTCTGCATCATTTTGGCAATGAGAACCCAGTTTTGGTCGTATCTTTTGACCGCATCACAAAGCACAGAGTTCGCCTTCCGTGACCAAGCAGAAAGACTTGCTTCCTCTCTCTCCTGTGATACCTTGACTCCCATTGGCAGAGATATCCCCAACTGATGCTTTGGAACAGATGGAGCATTCATACCCCTGAACGACGACAAAAATCCACGTTGTGGTCCAAAAATACTTGACCTTACTGAGGATTTTCCTTTTTTCAGAGCACCAATCAAAAGCGCTTCTCTTGTGTCTGGGAGATTCGAAGAACCTCCAACAATCTCCCAGCCCGCATGCTTTCTGTCATTTTGTGTGCTTGATACATCACTCTCAACTTGCTGGTATGGGACCAACACCTCTTGTTCAACCCCCAGATGCAATTCCTGGTTTCCCAGAGTCCTTGTGACTCTTGATTCAACTTGGCACACTACCGCTTGGTAAGGAACACACTCGAACATACTCAAGCCTGAACTTGTTGATCGGGAGTGAAAAAAATCATACAATCGATGTCTGTGGCTATGCTTCCTCAATTCCTCTGAAGCTTGGACTGTGTGTGTGTGACCTGCTTTACTGCTTTCGACTAGGGGTACCCGCTGTGCAACTTGAGGATGTGACATTTTTTTATGTCCCCTTTTCTTGTTTCCCATTTCTTCCTCCTCCGCCCCGCTGCTTGCAAAGACTTCTACTCCATTCAAATCTGTAGAATGCCTGGCATGGTTGGAATCATAACGTGTCCTATCAGTCCGTCCGGTATTTTGAATAGCTGCATTCTTTACAAAAAGAATGACCGAATCCAAGCAGGGCTGGGATTTTCTTGAAGTGTGATGAAGACTATTTTCAAAAGTTTCAAACGCATTATCGTAAACAGGATATACGTGACGTTCTCTTGATACAATCCTTTTGTCGAGTCTATTTGTCACATATGTTGATATTGCAGTAGGCATTCTGTCGTCGAAGCTGTGAACATGCCCGTCTGAGACCTCTGTTGTTGCTGGGGGCTTTGGCAAGCTGTTATGATAGTGAGAAATTGTGTGCTGCTGTAGCTTCACTGATTCTCCTGCTGACAAGTTAATATTTACAGCTTTTGAACTGAACCTAGAATTGGAATCATCTTCAAACCGAGGAATGGCAGACGATGATGGCTCCATCTGCCTCACTCGCTTTGAGTTTGGGAGCTCAACAAGTGTAATTGGAACTCGTTTGCGCTTAGTGACCTCCAAAGTTGGTATTTGCCCATGTTCTAACACCCCACTGTGTATCTCTCCTTTCAGGAGCGGAGGGAAAAACAGAAATGGTTCAGAGCCTTCATATCCACCAAATGCTCCATTGCCAACATGACTGGTAGCATAAATTCTTGAGTAGCAATTGTGACATGGCTGCGGTGCAATTGACAGATTGATAATAGCGATTGATTCTTGATTGCATAGTTCTTTTGTTTTTCCGTGACTCCCAATTTCTACCTCTTGGTTTTGCATTTGGAGTGGTGCATAATGCAAAACAGGTGATCCGCTGAAACTTTTGATCGACATCATCCGGAAACAGCCAAACAAAGCATTTCTTGATGTGCTGGGTTTCTTGTCAGTTGAACAACGCGAAGCTGAGACAGTTGCAGAATGGCGGGACTCGTCCAAAGAACTTTTCATATTCTTCAGGCCTTGAGTAAATGCTGATTCGAACCGGCGATCATTGGCAACAAACAGGTTTTGAAGATATAACAAAATGAAGAAATCATGGCGTTTTGTGATCAAGGGTCGAGTAACGCTGGCTGGGCAACGAGACGGTCGAGAATTATGCATATTCTTGTCCCTCGCGGCTTGATCCCAATCTGAGTAAGAAATGCAGTAGGAAGAAGCCACCGACTCTTCGTGGCACAATACTTGCATCAATGCAAGCTCAGCATGCATTTCGCAATCATCATTTTTGCTATCCATTTGCGTGAATGGCAGGAATAGGATTTTTGATGTAGAGTCCAGTACAGCTGGTATAGTTCGTGAGGGAAGCAAAGTCTTAGACAACGGCTGATGCCGTAGCCTTACGACTCTGGAAAGTGGAAATCCCCGTTTTTCCGACCTTAAGGCACTATTGTAGAGTGGCAATGCTTCCGAAATTGTCTCTGGAACAGTCAAAAAGCCGGACTTATCTCTTGGCCAATGGGTTGACTCAAAAAAAGAAAGCTCAAAAGGATCGCTGGAAAACAATTTCTCCTCAATCGTATCTTCGCAGATTAGACGGATAAAGTTGCAGTGCTTTCTTTGGTGAAAATTGTGCGATTGTATCCTTGACAATAATGCACTCAATACACACTCCCCCCTCCCTGTCCAATCGTCATCAACCAATATTACACTGTCGCAATTCTCGACCACCAGTCCCTGATTCCAACCAGATAGGAATGCAGGACATCCAACAACAATCTCCAGTGGTGGATGCAAAGCAGACCCACGTCGTCGGCTGCTGTTTAAACAAGCTAACATGCGTTGGTGGTGCGAAGAAAATGTACTAGCCTTTGTCGAAGATAGCGGCGATTCTTTCATGCACTCTGACCATGTTGGCTCCACCAACTCATGCGGGATTCCCAATGCGTTCAAAAGTAACGATACAAACCTTCGTGCAATCGGCAAGGTTGCAAAGATGGCTACTTTTCTCGGTTTATCTGCTGATGATTCCACCGTATGTTCCAAAATATTACATCCCAATAGCAACTTGTCAGCAAGCGCTACACCACAGTCGAACCTCAGGATTGAAATCATCTCTCGCAACTTTGCCGAACCTTTGATAAGCCTAAAGGCCAAAGCAGAATCCATCTGTGCAGGATTTTCTGTTGCAATGCCAATGGGCTTCAAGATCGTGTTATAGCTACGTTTTCCTTTGGTAAAATGGGTGTAATCATTCCATAGTTGACCCGTCACCTCGCCATGAATGCACTGTTGTCGTAATAACATCAAGGATTGTGAAACAGAGCACAAGGACTCATGACTTCGTGTGACAAGTGGGGCGAGACCACAACTTAGAGCGCCTCGGACTCCGATGCAGCATGCATCATAGTTCGATCTTTGGCACTTTTCCATTTTGCATCGACGCAGTTCCCAGCCGGTCTTCTCCTTTGTCCAGTCAGAAGACTTTAGAGAAATGACTAAACACGCTGTCGCCTCCTCAAGAACCTCTTGTGCAGACGCTGATTTACGCCTTCCTTTAATCTTCCCATGTTGTCGTGCCCAAGAAAATACACGCCGCTGCATCCTTTCCACGTCACAGAGAAAAAGGCGTGGCCCTATCAGCAGTGCTGCTCGTGACGCAACGATTTCCAACTTGGTTCTTCTTGGCATCTTTGAAAGGTTGTGCAACCAATGATTCTCAGCACTGTGCTCAATCAGTAATATAGCTGCATTTGATTGGAGGGATAGATCAATCAACTTGTCCCACCAAGGAACCGATAAAAGATATGCAGAACCAGCAAATACCCCCAAATCGCTGGTCCCTGTCGTTCCCAGTGTAGGCTTTTCTAGCGATGCAGGGAAAGACGACGGGCAGCGACAGTCAAGAATAATTGTTTGAAACGACTTCTTCGACGACTCAACGATTCCACCTACATCATCGAGTAATTCGAATTCGCATAAAATGATGTCACTCGCTTTACACAAGACTTCACCCTCTGCTGAAAGGTCCCCACTCAAGGCCGCAGAGAGATTGTAAATCAAAACTCGGATATCGCCCAATCTCTCAATTGCAAATTTCCATTTTATCTTGAATCCAAGCATTGCGTGAGTCAAATCCAGAAATGTGAAAGTTTGTTTCTTTCGGTAAACTTACCATGGAATTCGTTGGGCAAATAAGTAATTGCGGGCCTCGCTTTCGTCTCTGCCACATCAAAACAGAAGCAGTATGTGTTTTCCCACAACATAGTCCGCCCCTTAAAGCAATTCCAGGCTTGGTGGGCTGGTTCCACACGCTCAAAACGCGATCTACGACATATTTTTGCTCTCTTGACAAACTCATCTTGAGGTGTGAGTCAGAATTCGATGAAAAACTCTGGAAAATACTATCATTTTGGTGCCCCTTCATCTTGGCAAAAGAATCAACAAAACCTGAGATTTCAAGGAATGAAAACGACTTCTGACCGTAAAGAGTGGCTCGAAAGCCACAAGAAATTGAGCTGCCATTTTTTGGCAACAATCGTCGCAACCGACCTTTGCGCCTCGAAATACCACTAAGACTCCGGGTATTCTGGTGGTTACAGTCGGAGTCTTTTTTGTGTTCGAAGTCCTGCTTGTCAATTGTGTCCATCACTGCAGTTCCTAGTGTTGTTATCAACAGAGCAATACTATTTCCCACCTTCCTAGTTGCTTTATCGCCTTCCTGGCTGTTTCGTGGATACGTCTGTGTGGAAATCTCCTTCAGCTTTGAACATGTGGACACACTCTCCAGTGTATTTTCAGTTCCATTGTCAGATTGAGTATCTTTGTGTAAACTTTGCGCGACATCTCGAGAACTCGCTTCGCGTCGTTTTTCGTTGCCATCATCCGGTGATCGAGTTGAATTCGGGAACTTTTCTGACGGGCTTGAAATTGCAGATGATATATTCCGTGAGACGGATTCCTTCCATTTCCGTTCCTCAATGAAATCGGTCGCCATCCAATTCATTTCCTGAAGTAGCACATCCCAATGAGTCAATTTTCTGCTTGGAAGCGAAACAGTTTTGCGTTGGGACAACAATCGATTTTTCATGGATATTTTTTCCGTCGGTAGAATCAACGCATTTTGTTGAGTTTGTTCCCTGTAGGGGGAAAGCCTGGCTTCGATTGCATCACATTGTTTACGAAGGGCAGAGAATTTCGTGGAAAACATGTCTCGTCCTGTGAGTCTATTTTGAGGGAGTGACTCGCTACTTACCCGCAAATGCAGGGGTAGAGCCAATCGGTCAGAATTGGTAGACGAAGACTGCCAATTGTTTGACTCCTGACCGTTGGAAATTTTTGAACTCAATTCAGGTCCTTTGTTATCACTGCTATTCCCATCTATCGAGTTTGCCTCGGGTTTGTCAGGTTGATCCTGTTTTGACTGCTTCAGTTGACTTGGAATTAGAATGCGGTGGCTGTAGTTATCAGGATTGTTTGCATGCTGAACAAGACCGTTGGACGACGGGAGAGTTTGTTGAACCGACGAAGTCAAGCGCACTTGTGGATGATTTTCAATCATGTTAATCTGGACTAAATCTTGCTCTTTTTCGTTCATGGGGACTTTTGTATTGCTTTCAACCGTTGCGAAGTTTGAAGAAGAATGATTTGAGGACGATCCTGGTGCCAATGAAGACAGTGCAGCATTCATTCGCTTTCCGACACTTGATCCTCGTCGTAGCGAAAGTGAAGTTCTCCTGTCACTGTTCGCATCGTTGTCAGCTCGAATTCGTTTGGCTGCAAGAGTTGCTGAATTTGTCATTTGCACAAACAGAGAAACTTCATCCATATCCCCGCCTTTTTGTGCTGATAATTCAAACTTTGAATAGCTACTTTCCTCACTTTCATGTTGTAGTCGTTCGCTTGCCACCGCAGCACAAAATCGAATTCGTCGGCGCAAGGATGATCTGTGAGTAATCAACCCTTGCAGCCTTACCGATCTATTTGTTTCGTGTGCGAGTCCACCATCCGAGGGATCACAAGCGGGTCCCTTTTCCCGAGAATACAGTGGCTTCGTTGCCGAAGAGAGATTTTGAGACAAAGGTCCTTTGTGCCTGTCGTTGCTGTTGCTATTAGGTATTGGTAGAGAACTATCTCCAGTAGCAGCGTCTCGCTCTTTCACTGACGCATCCTGTGCAATAGCCTGCTGATAGCGAGTAGCAACGGCACCAAGAATGGAATCAACCTGGTTGTTATTTCCTGGATTTGTCTTGGAAGCATTTGCTGCAGTGTCAGCAGCCTCCAATTTTTTTTCCTGTCCCAAAGCTGTGTCGCGCTGTTCGCGTGATTTTGGTCTCCCTTCGGATCGTGCATCAGTTTCCGTCCGTTTCCGCTTGTTTCTTGTCGACGACATTGTCGCAAATCTACTTCTTGAGGGATGTGTGCATGGGTGTATCTGTTAAGTTCTGAATTGAGTGGTTAAAGCTAAGCGATTCGAGTGCTCAACCGGTAGGTATGAATGAAACAAAACAAGCAACTGCAAAGTGACGCAATCCCTGGACCCACCGCAAATATTGCATTGCGGGCGACTGCAAGACGTTGGATAGAATCGACCAACTCGAAGGAGTGGTTAATTAAAAGGGGCAACCTTTCCTCCCCTGAATTTTCTGGCGTCAGCCTTACTAGTCCGCCCACGACAAGGGGGCTCTAAGATTTGCGTAGCTTTTACTCAGCGTACTTGCGTGGAAGCTATTTTACTTAGCGAGAGCTTTCCAAAACATTCGCCGAAAACACAGTTTTTAATGCACAAATCTCGTAGCGACCCCCCCCCTAATTTTGAACGGGTTTTGGCACGAAGACCGTAGAATAGAAAGCGATTTTTGTCCTACCAAAAACGAATCATTGGCGAAAGGACAGAAAATTAACGACGAGCATAGAGAAATCTCCGCATCCATTTTGATTGGAGGTCACGGAGTTCTCTTCTTTTTGGTTTGCATGTCATCCCGGGGAGATTGGAACTCTTGGCTCTCATACATTCAACATCGAAACGAATCACACGATAAAAGTACATTTCGTCAAATGCAAATAAATATATTTTATCAAGCACTTTAAGATTTTCATCATGAATCACACCATAATAAGTACATTTTCAGAAGATGCCTTGACTACGTAACTGCACGAATGAATCACACCACAAAATTGACCTCAGAATTTAACAATGTTACCCCTGGGAGGGCCCGCCGGGAGGCATGTGTGGCATATGGCATGTAGCATGTGGGCAAGAAAGGTAAGCCTAGTGGTTTGGGGGGGTACCCCCCAAGAAAAGCACTGCCAGCATCGTACCTGCCAGTCACCGCTGACGCCAGCATCTATGTAAGTACTTTATATTCAGATCACTATTTCGTGCGTGTAGAAATCCTACGTTACACCAAGAGTGGTTACACGGCAGATTTGTTTAACGAACACATGGTTTAGCGCGCTTTCGATTGCTTCCACTGTGTCGAAAGCCACAATTCCGACATGAAAAAATCGTTTAGGTTTCCAGCAAGTTCAAAAGAATGAATCGTTTGAGTCCACAAAAAATCGTTTGGGTTCACAAAAAATCGTTTGAGTTCACAAAAAATCGTTTGGAGTCACAAAAAATCGTTTGGAAAAATCGTTTGGAAAAATCGTTTGGAAAAATCGTTTGGGAAAATCGTTTGGGAAAATCGTTTGGGAAAATCAGCTTGCCCCAAATGATTTCTTCTTACAACAAGCTCTTTTATGTCATCCTCTTTGGTACTTGATGATCTAATGTTGCTCTCATGTAGCTACTAATCTAGGGTTTAGCAAAATCATATCGTGCTTCACTGTTTCCTTGAATTTCACATCGTTCACATAAGTTGTTGGGATATGACGAAATATGAGTTTTTACGTTCCAAAAGAAACTATTCAAGTACAAGGTTTTCAACACGTGCGATCGGACTTTGATCGTGCGCAATGTCAGGATTCGACGCAAGTCTGCCGGACGCAAGTCTGTCGGACAATCTGTATCCACACAAACAGGAAAAGATCCTGTACAAGTGGAATATTGATGTTGTGTACGATGCAGTAGGGAATAATGCAAAATATCCCAAAGTACTACTGCATTCAACACAGAATTGTCGTAGAAGTCAAATCGAGTTCTGTAAACAAGGGATTTTCCAAGGGAAAATCGTCAAACTCACTTTTGTGATTGAAACATCAATTCAAGCCAAACATTAATCAAATAGGAACAATTTCACTCAAAGTATACCCAGACACAGGAGAACTATTGTCGTGAAAGTGGTGTACAATCGATTACAAATTTAGATTGCAGGGAGTTTGTTCTGAGCGCTAAAGGCACTCACGATAGAGCACATTTTGCTTTATTCTAACATTCAATCACAAAAGGCAACAAAACAAATTTACGTCAAGAACAGCACTGCCTTATCTACAAAGGAGTGA